CCTGTAGTCCATGCTGTCACTGCAGTTAACCCTTGGTGGCTCCATTCTGGGAGTGGAGCCACTCAGCGGTGAGAGCATGGAGCCCAGGGAAACATACTTCCCATTTCTTGCTGCACTTAAGCCCTGGGGGTCTGCTCCAAGATGAGGGATGGCTCACCAGGCCCTCTATTGGCAAGTCAGTTGTGCAGGTCAGAGATAGCATTAAGCCTTAACCTGTAACTACGCTGAAATGGTGTTAAAATTAAAACAACCTAACATTTCACAGATTTAGTATGATTTAAAGGTAACCTGTAACAGCATCCTAAGAAAGGCCAGCTTTTGGAATCTTAAATTTTTGCAGGAAAGAAGAACCATTTTTCACTTGGCTTAAATTGAGGGTTGTATGTTCATATCAAATAAGCTAAATAAAGTATTAATGGGAAAAAGTGATTCCTTCCAGGCTCGTATAGGCAACCAATAGAAGTCTTGGAGCATGGGATTACAGTTATCTCCCACAGAGAGATCAAGATTCCTTCAAGGGGATACCACATCGTTGAATACACAGATCTCGTGCTAAGGGAGGCATGATTCTATGTTACAATCTAACTGATGCAACAAAGATACCTTTGCATAAAAGGTAATCAAACCAGTAAAGCTCTGACCTTAGACCTTTCCAGAGCACTAAGAGTATTCAGAGTCACCAGGTACAGTAGCATACCTCAGGGGTTAGAGTATGTGAATGAACCTCAGTGATCGGATGACATGAGTTCACTTTTTATTAAGCCTTTAAAACATTCCTGGAAAGAATTTGCTGTATATTTCAGTCCCTAGGTTTGCAAATGAATTGGCAAAAAGCTACCCTGATTCCTATGGTTAACCACTGTATGGGCAGTGGTTAACAGCTTGTCTCTGGCTCCATTTTCGAACTCCATGTGGCCTATTTAGATTATTTTACCAATAGTTTGCTAGCCTTTCCTTCCTGTGGAGAAAAGTGCACTACTGCCTAATGAGCAGTGATAAAGCCTTCAGCTATCTCATCATCTTGAGGCAACTGAAAAAGGATGGTTAATTTCCTTCCATCAATCAAGCAGACTGTCCTAATGAGGGATCTCAGTGTAACACTGACAAATTTAACAGCCTGTAGGAGTCTTTCTTTACTACCTGCTTCTAACTATGGCACTTTAAATTCTAGTTATATCTGCCGTGTGAATGGGGGAGTTGTCAACTTTCATAGTTGATTCTCGTTTCACTGTATTTTCCAGAGACAAAGCTATCCTGTATTTTCATGCAAACTAATTACCAAACGTATTATCTAGATCCATTGAAATCAGGCTATTAATCCTTGCAATTTTTCTTTCCAAAGCCTCGTTTTTACCAAGGAAAACTAGTTTGGTATCTCACATTTCACTGGAAGTTTAAATTTGTATTAGATGAGACTAGAGCATTTAAAAACTCATTAAAGGTTTTTTTTCAGACTTTGAGAAACAGTGGGCATGTCTACACGTGCCTCTCTTAAGCGGGCTTAGCCTAAATTGCCATTTTAAGATGCGTTAAAGGCATGTGTCTACACGTGCACGCCCTTAATGTGCCTTAAAAATGGTGATAAGGCTATGTGAGCCTAAATTTGATACCTGCATGAAGCAGGTATCAAATTTAGGTGCAAATAGCTGAGTTGCATTAGTGCACATGTAGACGCACTAATGCAGAGTAATGTAGTGTGAATCAATGGACACACTCCTCGTTGATGCACATTAGCACATCTGCACGTGCGCTAATGCACCTTAGCTATTCACACATAAATTTAATGTGACTTAATGCGCATTAGCACATCCACATGTAGACATGCACCTAAATCATCTTAATGTGCCTTAAGCAAAGGCAGTTTAAGTTTAGGTGCACATAAATACATGTGTAGACACACCCAGTATAGCAGAAAGGTCATTTCACTTGGCTTATGTCTAAAAAGATGAGCTTATGCATTCAAACTGGCAGGCTTTGCTGATAGAAACTGGAAAAAATGCAATACTGAAGGAAGAGGGAGCAAAGAGCAGAGGAAGCAGAATTTTTTTCTACTTGTTTGTTTGTACACTAATGTCTTTTTCCAGTCAACATTCTTACTATTTTACTCACCATAGTTTATGTTCCTCTCTGTTCACCTTCACCTTACTATTTCCATTTTTATTCAGTAATTACATATCTTCTAGCTATAATTAAATATGTTTCATGGTCATTTTACTCATATAACTTCTGTTCTAAAAAAAAATGAAAAATGGTATCTGGAGACAGTAAAGCAAGTTAGGGATATATTTGAACAATCTTTCCCATCACAAAGATTATGAATTCAATTGGTGCCTTGACAAGAATTACTTCCTACATTTTATTTAAGAGAACGTTCAATATAGCATCTCCTCTTATATGCTCCTAACCCAGCTTTTCCAAGAAATACTCATTAATGATGTTAATTTTCTAAACTGTGCCCCAATGTTACATTTGAGCAACTGATATTTGAGTAGCCTAATATTTAATACATTTGTTTGTCAGTTTGCTCGTTTCATGTGCTGTCTGCTTGTTTCACCAGTCTGCTAAGGCCACTTGGTACAACCCCTCCTGAATCCAAGATGACTTCAGATTTAAGACAACCCCCTAATAATTAGAGTCTATACATGGACAAGTATACATTTGTTATAATGGTCCATGTGAAGAGTCTAATTACTGGAGGGTCATCTTAAATTCCTCCCCCTACTTCTGCAGCAGTGACAAGAGGGAAAGCAGTAATGACTAGGGAGCAGGGGGGAAAGCAGGAACAGGTAACCTGCCCTTTGCCCCCATGCCATTTTCAACCCTTCCCCCCACCATTTGTTCCCCAGTACCTGCTACCCCTCTCCCCCCACACTCTGCTTGCTGCCCTCCATCAATGCTTACCCTGTGTGAGGGCTCTGGCCCAACTCATGGAAAACATGTACGTGTGGGGGTGTGTGTGTGTGTGCGCGCACCCCCCCCCCCCCCATGGCTGATATGTATTTGCAAAAAAAGGGGGGGGATGGGCTCTAGCCATGGCTAGGCCATAGTGGCAATGGTAGCTCTGGCCCTGGGTCAGGACCAGAACCAGACCCACGGGAGCTCCCTGCTACTGTGCAGGGGAATGGGGAAAATACCTTGTCTTCGATTTGAGTAAATACAGTAATATTGGGAAAGGGTAAGTCCTTGAATTTTGTTCCCTGCAATCACCACTCTGTACCACGATGTAGAAGTGTTCAGACACAGTGGAAAATCAAAGTCACTACATTCATCTGGATCCAGCATCTATTTGCATAATTCTATTACAATTATGTTTTAGTAACATTTGCTCCTGGTCAGCTGTCTACACATGCTGTACTGCACAGTAATTACTCCTGAGTAAATTTGCTACTTTTATTTAAAGGTAGTGAATTTACCATGATTAGAGGAAATTACCATGAAATAAGTGTTTGCATGTGTAGACAGTGACACTTTCTGTGCATGTTTACATGTGCTTTTAGGCATGCCTAAACTTAATGTTCATCAACCTAATGTGCATTAAGGTGAGTTAGGCACACATCTACACATGCATGTGCTAGGTGTGTTAATGTGGGTGTGCAGACAGACTTAGGACTAAATTAGTCCCAAGTCAATGGACACATACTGTGTTAATGTGCATTAATGTGTCTACATGTTCACAAATATGATTTAGCTATCTGCACATAAATTTGATATCTGCTTTATGGATAGCCTTAAATTGCCATTTTTAAGGCACATTAAGGGCACACGCGTAAACGCGCACCTTTAATGTACTTTAAATTGGGCTAATGTACATTAAATGCTCATCTGTAGACATGTCCACTGTGCAATAATTTGCTCTCATCTATGACTTTTCTCCATATACACCAAGTAGAAGGTTACAGTAATTTTTTTTAATATGGAACTTGCCATAAATATCCATGCCTTTGTCTCTTCTGGTTTGGATAATGAGTGCTTTATACTCTGCATGGCCATGTATAGAAAACTCTCAACTAGTATCAAATGCAGCAAACTCATTTAGTGTTTCGTATATAGTACTGTTACTTCTTAATCTACTTTACCTTTTGGTTTGTTCCCAGGTGAAATTCAAGACTGTAGTTATGACTTAAACCTGTAGCTTTGTGGCTGCCTAAAAATCAGTTTCTGTCCTTATGGGATGGTATGACAGTTGAGATCATCCAGTCTTCAAAGTTAAACAATTTTTTTTGGCAATATAGCATTTTCAAAGTTTCCTTGATGCTAGACCTTGAAATCTGACAGCCCTTGAGTTTGCTGATCCATTTGGCAAGCTGCAAACATTACCTATTATTCCAGGCTTTCCTAAAGATTAAAAAGAGAAGTATTAGTATATTATTGATAGTCCGTGTAGACTTGCATGTTTAAAATATCCATTTCAAATGTTGTGTGCATTACCTAAAATTAAAATATATATTCACTGAGAGCTGAAGACACAAATTTGTATATGTGTGTACTAATTTCTAGTGTAATAAAAGATACATGTCGGTCAAAAAAACAACTTTGATTGTATTTTGGTATTCTTTTCCTGAGGCTACAGGACATTGAAATGATGTAATTTGAGATACCACTATAAACACACTGACTTATCTGTTCAGCTATTTACTCAAGCCCAAATTATCAAAATTTCAACTAACGCTAGGATTTAGATGTTCACTCAGATTTTCCAAGAACCTGATTTTTCAGAGATGCATGGCACATAAAGCTCCAGTTGCAGCAATTAGGAACTAAGTGCTCACCATCCCTGAAAATCAGACCCTACTAATCCCAAGTAGGACATTCAGAGAGAGTGGACAGTGGAAAACCTTACCCCTAATGATTATCAACAGATGATAAAGAAAAGTTAACCCCAGAGGATTTTTAATCTGTCTTGTAAAATTACAGAAGAATCTAAATCTTTGTAATATAAATGCTGTAACTGTTGATTTGTTGTTTAATTTTCTCTAATATGTATTTCTGTGATCTTGCAGGTTTTAGCTGATGCTGTTGCACGCTTGGTTGTAGATAAATTCAGTGATTTGACTGATAATTTCACATCTCCCCATGCACGTAGAAAAGTTCTTGCTGGAGTTGTCATGACGACAGGTAAAAAGAAAATTACTACTACTACTACTAAGTGTTCAGGTACCATAGTGATGGACACATTATAAAGATCTAGGTAGTTAAAAGATATTTATCTTTACACTTCATTTTTCTTTCTGAAAAAAGAAACTGAATTATCTTTAATGCATAATTGGAAGAGTATATAATAAATATAAGGATAGCTGAAGTCACATCCTTGTGATTGGCAGTTACCAGAAAGTTATGCCTGTAAATACCTCTCTATTTTCACAGAGCTTCTCTCTCTCCAACAAAATCAACTGAATTTTCTAGATAAGCCATATTCTATAATATACATTACCTTTTTTAAAATGAGATATGTATCACACTGAAAAAAAAATTAAGGGTAATAAACTCCCCAAATACACTTTATTACATTGCATACTTAAGTCAGGGCATAAATTACGTATGCATTCTAAATATTCTCATTTTTACATTTTGTTTAATTATTCTTACTGTATTTAGTTATTAGTGTAATTGTACTTGGTATAGTAATTACTGCAATACACTTATTTATTCACAAACATCAAATATGCAGATTTTAATGGCAAGTATGAATCGCCTGATTTGGCAATTGACAATACTGCAGATGCAGTGCAAAGTACATTCAGAATCTTAGCTTTTATTTCTTGCATGTCTTATCAGTATAAGAACTGATAATTTTTAGTCTATGAAGCTTTATATCTCTGGTCACTGTTGAATTTATTGCCAGGCTTCTGATTTACTAATAGTGTCAAGCCAGATAAAAAAAAAAAAAAAAAAAGTGAACCTGAATATTCTGTAATGTCCCATTGTGTTTTGATGTGTTATGCAATATGTGAAACAAACACTGGGTTTTAGTGCCTTCTCATGCAGTAAAGTATTAAGCTTAAGTTTACTAAAGCTTCTGATATCCACTGATTTGATTGATTTAAGAAGCTGTTAAATTTGTTAGTTTGGATCTTTTTACTTTACCTACATGTCTTAGTCTGTGCTGTTTATAAATATAAAAACTAATTGGACAAGAACCAGCAGAAAGTATATAAAATGAGGTGGGGGCCAACCATCCTTTGTTTCAAATGATGCATCGTAAACACTATTTCATAAAGCAGGGGTTTTCAACCTTTATTAATCAAAGTGCCCCTGGTGGCTGGTGGGGGGACACGCGTGGGGGTGACGGCAGTGGCACCCGTCTACGGAGCAGGGAAGCTCACGGGGCTTGTGGGTGGCAGCGGCAACCACCATTTGCGAGCTTCCCTGCCCCGCAGAGGGACGCTGCTGCCCTCACCCCACCCCAGCCCTGCTCCTGGTAGGTGGCAGCGCTCTGTCTCTGCCTGCCTGCACTTGCCCCCTAGGACCGTTCCAAGTACTCCCAGCTGACAACCCCTGTCATAAGGTGCTCCGAAGAAATATTTGATCAGGAAGAAATGTTTTGTAGGTAATAGTTATATAGGGGACTGTATACTGCAATACAAACATTGAGACCAAATCCTGTCTTGTGCCAAGATATATTTGATTCAGGAGGACCATCAGGAAGCTGATTATGGCTCCCTGTTTCTCAGGCTGGCCCCAGTGCCAAACCAAAATGGAAGAAAGCTGGCTAGTATTGTTAAGGGGACTGTACACCAGCTTATGAATTGCCAGCTTATGAATTGCCACTGTTTTACCTTTCTCTGGCTCTAACTTGCTGCCTGCATGAAGCAGAGATGAAGGCATCTGATATAGAAGTGAGTTCCTCTGGCTGTGCACAGTTGGTAAATTCCTGTGTGTTGAGGACATGGCTGATGGCTTGGTAGAAATAGCCAGTTTATGCTGACAGAGCAGTGTAAAGGAACCAAATCCTAAATGAGAATGTGGCCCATGTTTTCTTATTTTTTAAATTTTTTTTAGTAAAAGAGTATGTTTTGTCTTATCTCTGTATTTTTCATGCATTTGCCTTTTATTTCTTTCAAAGGGTAGGCAGCACACATGATAATTTACTATGCTGTAGCCTACAGAATTAATTCATACCAGAAATACTGTACTGAAGGTACTATTTGCTCTGTGGAATGATTAAATATTAAAAAACCTGGTGTTGCCGTAATGTTTTGAGGGTTTGTTTGTTTTTTAGTCTAATTTATATCTTCCCTGTATATACTCATGTTTTGGTTCCCTGCCATACTTTCTAGTCTTTTTAATAGACCAGTGCCTTATAATAGTGTAAATTATTAAGGCGGATGTGATCTTTCTAAATGATACCATCTGTCTCTATAGTACTAAATTCTTTAAGTTGGAAGATAACTTTCTCTCTCTGTCCCAAAGGAAGTGATTAATGTGAAGGTAATAACTTTAAATAACAGAACACTTTATTTTTTAACATAGGTTTTAATCAAATTTTGCTATATATGAAAGATTTGAAACTAGACCCTTGTATGAAATGTGTCCAGGTGAACCTCAGGGCCTGCATGGAGCCTCACTGAAGTGATGTTTTCCTATTTCAAGTGGTCTACTCCCATTTCATTCAAATTTAAAATCAGGATGGTAACCCATTAAGAGTAAAAATCAAAACCATGACCATTTCAAACAAAAAAGAGAGTAATGTATCCAATTGAAACTATAGAAATTGAAAGAAATAATGGTCCAGTTCAGCAAAGTATAGTCCTGTTGACCTAAATGGAACTGCTTGCAGTTATAACGTTAAGTTTGTATTTGAATGCTTTGCTGGACTGGGGCCTAAAACAGATTGCATTAAATAGCTGGACTAAATTTTTAAATTTTTAAGGTACACTGAATACCATATCATATTTCCATCTCTTCTCCTATGAGACTTCTGTCAAACCCTTACCCTAAAGATGTTTTTACATTTGGTGGCAGAGCCTTCCCTCCCAACCCCTTTGAGGACCTTCAAAAAATTATTCTCCCTTTGGCCTTCATGGAGAATGGGTCTGATAATTGCGCTGCTTGCCGAATTCTAGAAATGGTCTCCTGGATGGCCTACATTGGCCCTGCTTTCATCATGTAGAGCAAGAAATATCCTGTTGTTGTCCATAGCTAACTGAGCCTGGAGTTTAAGACACTTGAAACTCTATTGTGGTAGTTGTTTCTGGACTCAAAGGTATCATTGACAATACTAGTCATTCCTGCCCTACTTCAGGAGGATGAGCTCCAGGGGGCACTCCTAAGACATAACAGTTGAAGGAGGATTCTGAACACTGGTCTACCATCGTCATCTCAAAAAGAATTCTCAAGAAGTTTGAGGTTTAGAGTCCACTTGGGGGAAGACTGAGGCTTTGGGAGGAGCAGGTTAGTTCAAACATTCCAGTTTTGTTTGAACCCAAAGGACATGGCAAATCTGAAAGGACTGACTCTATGAACCTGTGTGAAAAAAATCCACTATTTTTGGTTCACTCACCCCATACAAAGCTATGCCAGCAGGTTTCAAATAATTATCCAAGCTGGGAATTTGATCAAGACATTAGGAATATCACTCTTATTCTTACAAAAAGTGCCTTGGGATATATCTTGTCCGAGAGAGAGCATCTCCAAGAACATTATGCCAGCTGACATTATGCTGGAGCATTGATCCAGTGCTGTCTGGGGAATGTGTACCTCCTAATGAAACCTACTGACTTTTCCAGAAGCAGCAACAGTTTCATCACTGGTTTCCTATTTAACTTCTAATCTAGCCTGAATTTGATATCAGTGGCCAAGCTGATGTGCAAAGACGAATTCTTAAGTGGATGTTTTTGTTGCAAATAAATTGTTTGAAGAAAGTTTATTTTTTTAAAATAAATTGTTTAAGCCTAGCGAATAAATTCAACCGATAAATTTCAATGCATTTAAATAAATTTTCTTCCTGAAATTTATTTCACAGGTACAGATGTGAAGGATGCCCAGGTAATAAGTGTTTCCACGGGAACAAAATGTATCAATGGGGAATATATGAGTGACCGTGGACTTGCATTAAATGATTGCCATGCAGAAATTATCTCTCGCAGGTGCCTGCTTAAATTTCTATATACACAACTTGAGTTCTTCTTAAGGTAAGTTTAGAAGGGCAGAGTTTAAGCTACAAACTTCATATAGAAGAGAAATTTCAAGACCTTTTATATGTGATCATTATTTGAATTATAACACAAAACTTATTATTTGAATTATAGCACAAAGCTACCGAAGTCTTGATAAAACAAAATGGCATGTAACATCAGTCATTATTTAACTGAAATATTATATTGGAAAATCAGACCCATCATAAAGTTTAACAGAAAGTTAATACTCATTTTAAGGACACATACCTATAACAAAGCTGTGCTTATTACGATTCATTTATTAATTAAACAGATGCTGTTTAGTTAAGCATATTGTGAGTTGAGCATGTCATCCTTTAGCATATAAACCCATTTGTTTTTCCATTTTTTAAAATTTAGTGCAAATGAATCAAAATACCAACAAATAAACTAGCAAAAGTATGGTTTTGTTTAATTTCCTTTACTGTTTTCATTATAACTTCACTGGACAGACGTGAGCTTATAAGTAAACTTCTTTACATTCTTTATTTTGTTTACAAAATGATACATCTACTGCCATAGTAAGTATGACCGGGCTTAGCATACTATATTTGTTTCGCTTCAGGTTTTGACTGTATCTCTCTTTTCTGTTTGTTCCAGTAATAAAGATGATCAGCTAAAATCCATTTTTATCAAGTCTGAACGAGGAGGGTTTAAACTGAAAGAAAATGTGCAATTTCATCTCTATATCAGCACCTCTCCTTGTGGAGATGCTAGGATCTTCTCCCCACATGAAGCAGCACAAGAGGGTATGACTAGGACCCTATTATAAAGCTAAGGAGTTACCAACAATATGTTTGATTATAGGCAGATGGGAATGTTAGAAGCCAAGCTGTCAGTTTAATTGTCCTATTTGCTGAGTATCTGTGTTAGACAAATATTTTTTGGATTTAAATTACCTTATTTTCTATATAGTACATTGTTCTCTGCAAGTCCCTTTATAGCATCTGGCAAAGTAAGCTAAAGCCTACAAAAGCACGTGTTTCTCTGAATGAGTTAGTCCATAATGTGCTATGCTGCCATTTATTTTTGTCATACTAGAAATGCTAGACTCAGTACAGACAGATGGGAAGACCATGTGGACTAGCGGCTAGAGCCTTGAAGGATAAGCCAGTGAGATGGCATGCGTCTTTCCAGAAGTCACTGTGCTTCTTTGTGCTTTTATTAATTTTTGTTGCCCTCCTCTAAATTCCTGTATATATTTTAGTGATGTGTTAGTGATGATGGTCCAGAAAATACGCAAGAGGCAAGGATTTTTTTTGGTGATATCTTTTATAGGACAAACTGAGTGAAATCTTAGACAAGCTTATGAACACAAGATACCCTGTACTCAGGGTCAGACCTGAGGAAGGGTGCCTAGCCTGTGTCCAAAAGTTCATCTAAGATCTCTCCCACCTATATATTTGGTCTAATAAAAGATATCACCCCAAAAATCCTTGCTCCTCTCATTATATGTTAACATCATTCTGTGACTGAAGGGCCTAGAATGGAATTTAAGAACGAAATATTTGTATCTCATGGTCTTTTCTGGTAACAAATTAATGAGCTTTTTCAAGATGGTTACCAGCTAAAAAATAGGTTGCCTTTTCTCATTTGATGACCATCAGTTTCTATAAAATACATTAATATTCTCTCTCAATTAATTATAAACAATTTTTGTCACCTAGATCAGGGAGACAGGCATCCAAACCGTAAAGCAAGAGGACAGCTACGGACAAAAATAGAATCCGGAGAAGGGACAATTCCTGTCCGCTCTACAACAACTATCCAGACCTGGGATGGAGTACTACAGGGAGAGAGGCTGCTTACCATGTCATGCAGTGACAAGATAGCTAGGTGAGATGTTAAGTGTTTGGTTTCTTTGTTACTCTTATCTGATTGCCGCACAAATGATTTCAGTTACAAGTTGCATCCTAAAACCTAGATAGCTGGAAGAAATACGTGATATCTACATTGACTTCAGAAATAAAGTTGGCAATGTCTTATCTCAATCACTTGTTGATTCCTGAGGTGAATTAACTGACTGTGGGTCAGTCCATTTAACCTGATCTTTCAGCATGATAATTAGGTCCTGTAATTCTATTGATGAAGGTTCTAATAGTATAAATTAGCTACTTTTGGCTTTCCTGACATTTCTTTGTATTCCCTTAATATTCTTGAATAATATTTAACTTTCTTTTTACTGTCCACACTGTCAATTCCCATAAATAACACAAGAGGAGTATTAAACTTCCTTACTTGGTTATTGTGCATGTAAATTCTTTCATTTTTCATAAAAATGAGTGTTTTTCTCAAACAAAAGTTGGTTGAAAAATTATTAGATTTAAAGCTGCAAAATGGGGGAAATATAGACATTAGGGCTGGAAGGCACTTTGGAAGATCATCGAGTGCAGCCCCCTGCCCCAGGGGCAGGAAGTCAGTTAGGGTCAAAGGATCCCAGCAAGATAGGCATCCAAATGTTTTTTTAAGGAGTCCAGACTAGATGCCTGCACCACCTTTGGGGGCAGTCTATTCCAGGCCTTGGGGGCTTGGACAATAAAGAATTTTTTTCCTTGTGTCCAGCCTGAAACAGTCTTGGAGGAGTTTGTGACCATTTGACCTTGTCATCCCTTGGGGCGCTCTGGTGACCCAGATCCTGATGTACACCCCTTATATACTTATAGGTAGCCACTAAGTCACCCCTGGGCCTGTGCTTTTCCAGCCTGAAGAGTCCCATGGCTCTCAGCCTCTCATCATAAGGCCATTCTCCTGCCCTCTGATCATATGCATGGCTCTCCTCTGGACTCTCTGAAGCTTTTCCACATATTGTATTGATTTCTCTCCTCTCCTGCAATAAATGCGAATTTCCGCATCGTGTGTGATAATACCTTTAGCTGGGGTTCTACACATTAGACAATGCACAAGCACATTAAATGGTCCCTGTCTGGCTTACAGTCCAAGATATATTCATTATAATATATGAGTGTTAAAGCAGAGTTAAAAAACACAGAACAAGTTACTTATTTAGGGTGCTTGTATATGTGACAGGAGTTTGGTTCTTCCTAAATTGAAATAGTGAGTTTTTAAATGACACAAAAATCCACTGTTTCAATTTAAGGACTTCTGTGATATCACGTGACATCACAGTGCATCACGACCCCCCTGCCCCTTCCTGCCCTTCCTTCCCCGCAGGCTCCGCCAGGAAAAAAAAGAAAGCGGTGAGGGGCCTTATCATTTCCCCGACACCCCCCTCCCCCGGGCCTGCCTGCCTCTCCCGTGGCCGGGGAACGAGCCGCCAGCAGACCGAGTAGCCCCTGATCTATGGGGTGCCCTGGTCCTTCCCTTCGTGGCAACAGCACCCCACCCCCAGGCAGCACCTGCCTGCTAGCTTCTGACCCGGGTGGTCCCAGGGGGCACCACTACTGTGGAGGGAAGCACCAGAACCCACACAGCTCAGGGGCTGTGCAACCTGGCAGCCGCTCACGTAGGCAGGTTTGACTGAAGAAAAAAAAAGAAAAACTGAGGAGCCTAACCTTTTTTTTCCTTCCTGGAGCCTGCCTGCTTGCCTGAGCTGCGCAGGGACCAGTGATTCCCTCCGTGGTGGTGGCAGCACCCACCCACTAGCAGCCCATCCAGGTGGTCCCAGGGGGTGCCGCAGCCATGGAAGGAAGCACCGGGCCCTGCACAGCTCAGGCAGGCAGGCAGGCTTCAGAAGGGGGGGAAAAAAAAAAGATCAGTCTCCTCACTCCTTTTTTCTTTTTGTTTTTCCTCAGTGGAGCCTGCCCATATGAGCTGCTACCAGGTCGCACAGCTGTGTGGGGCCTGGTGCTTCCCTCCGCAGTGGCGGTGCCCCCTGGAACCGCCAGGGCCGGGTGCTAGGGAGTAGGTGCTGCCTTGGGAGCACCACCACCATGGAGGGAAGGTCCGAGGTCCCCCGTAGCTCAGGGGCCCCTTGGCCTGCCGGCAGCTCACCCCCTGGCTGTGGGAGAGGCAGGTAGGCTCCAGAACCCCTAAACCGTCCCTGCTGCCTTCCCACTGCCTGGGACCACCCAGGAATGGGCTGACTTGCCCCTGGGGCAGTGCAGCAAGGTGGCAGGAGGGTGGCTGGGTGTACTGATGGGAGGAGAGCATGGCAAGGACGACGCATGGGGCACTGGAAGCCCGCTCAGCCCAAGATTCCCCGAGCACGTCTGGGCTTCTAGCACCCTGTGCACTATTGCACTTCATTACGTAGCAAACTAAAATATCTCGGATGGGTTTTACGTCACTACGTAACAAAGTCATTTAAAGCAAAATACGCCACTGAACATGTACATCGTCATGAAATTAGAGTGGAATATGCCGCCGAACGAGTAAATAGCAATGCCATTAAAGTGGTGCAAAAGGGCAATTAAACCACTGTAAAGACCAATTTGTCGCATTCAGAAGCACCCTTAGTTATCCAGTCTCCAGAGTTTTCTGAAAGTAATCAGTGAGGAAATTGCACCTTTATTTGTTAAAGTCCTATGAAATATATGTTCATGATCTCTTCAAAACTTGGGGCAATGAAAGATTGTTATATGTTGACAAGTAATTTCCTAAAAATGATATGTGATTTCTTATATATTCTTTCTCAATAACTTTCAAGTGAAGTTGCCACCTTACAGGTCAAGAGCTTATCTGTCAACTTTCTAAAGTCCATCCAAGATGTAAAAATCATCCTGTGTTCATTTGACGACTTATAACATCATCAGTTTAGAAAAAAAGAGAGGTTATTCAGCTAGCACTCAATTCACTATTTTGTTGATTGTGTGTAATGCACAGCAGAATCCAGGTCACGCTTACATAAATAAATATTTCCTTTCTTAGGGGCCAGAGAGATTGGAAATGTGTTTATGTTGGTGAAGGAAATGGAGATGACCCAGAGACTCATGGAGCAGAGGCTGTATGAGTAGCAAGGAGGCCCATTATTTTACATTCAATATTTCCATGGCAGTTAACTGCATTCTGCGAATTTCACTTTAATTTATTTATTATTGTGCAATTTCTATTATTTGTTACCATAATATTACTAAAAAAATGTCATGTCATTGGATTTTTATTGAGATTTTCAAAAGATGTCTCCTAATTAAAGTTAATTTGTGTCTGTGACTATGATATTATAGAAAAAATGTAATTTATCAAGTCAGTCTACTAACTATTGAAGCAACATTATGGTTATTGTTTTATTTTGGTAAGGATAACATTTTATTGCTCAGTAAATCCTTTAATCTAGAGAAGTTGGGTTAATTCTGCTCACATGAATTTATATAGGTAATTTGATTCTTGGCACATGATCAGCTTATATTCAAAATTTCTTTGTCACAACTCTAGTTTGCTGCCCATTAGCAGCTAACTGTCCAGCTCCACTGTGGCTTGTAGAAATGCTAGACCTCTAAGAACTTGCAGCTATCCTTCTGGGCCAATATTCTCTCCTCTACACTTCTCTTCTCTTCCTTTTTACTTCAGCAACAAAGGTGACTAGTTGTGAAACCTCAGTGCAGGTTATTGATTGTCTTCTCTAATGATGGGCAGTAGGCCATCAACTTACCAGTTATAGCCAACAAACAGGGAAATACCCATGATATAGTGAGACATGGGCTTTCTCTGCTACAGCTTTGGTATCATGTATACATCTTTTATATGCATGTGTTGGTGGAACCCAAGAACCTAGATGGAAGCTGCACGTTGGCAAGGGACGCATCAGTCTGGATAGGCCTTGCATAAATACTCTTCCCCTTGGAATCTGATCTGTGACACTGAGATGCAGAATACTGGGCTAGATGGGTTGGTGGTCTGATCTAGTATGGCATCTCTTATGTTCTGCCAGTCTTTTGTCTTATTACATAAGTGTGTTAACATATGAGCAGCAGTATGGTTTATGGTGCCAGCTACTAGAAAACAAGAAGGCAAGGAATTGTGAAACCCTATCTCTGACTATTTGACCTCAGCCAGAAAATCATCCTTTCAGTTTACTTCATCTTTTCACCTCACCCCTCTAAAAGAGAAAAGGAGACAAAGCAAGAAACCTGATAATTTTGCTTCAGGTTGGAAGGAGAGGGTGAAAGATGGGGTCCACCCTGAATACCCAACAATATTAACACTGCTTTGTAATGGCCTCAGAAGGGAAAAGGATATGGGAAATAAAAATGTACATCTTTACAACTAATTTAATTTAATCTGGGTTAATAAACATGTAAACATTTTTTCATATTAAAGTGGTTACTCCAGGTACCATTAAGACTGAGTGCCATAACTATGCATTTTCAGACATTCACCTGCTTTATTAAAAAGCAGTCTTAACTTTGGAATTGCTTGCATTTTCTTTCATTACTGATCTGTACATTTCATCTCCAGTCTTATGTTCATGTAGATTTATTGGCTGCCAATAATGTCTTGAAGTTCTCACAAAACATTACAGACACAAAGAAGAAAGCTTCACAATGGGAGCATTATTGGTCGTGTTTTGTCGATGTGGAAAATGAGTCATTAGGACTTCATTCGTTACTTCAGATTTATTTCCAAAGAGAGCTATCTATGTTGCCCTTCCACTGTAGCAAAATTGTTTTCTGATATATTTCTGTGTGAAAGAACACCAAAGAGCTCTGGAGAAGGGTTTGGTTTTGTTTCTGTAAAGTCACAGTAGAGGTCAGTCATTTTCCTCACTGGTTTTCACTGTTTGAAAGAACTTAATCGCACACACAGTGTCTTTAACACATTGACTTGTGGTCTTTGCTATCTTAATGTTATTGATAGTTGGCTTCTACAGCAAGGGGTGCATCAATATTCTTATCTTGATAACAAGCAAGTACATGCATCCTTGTCTTGAATGCTCTTTA